AGTCTTTCACAATTAATATGTATGTATAAATCGTACATCTATTCTGATATATATATATATACACATATACACACATATATAAAAAGGATACATATATAGAACGTTCCGTTTTAACCGCAATGTATTCAAAGCAAATGTTACAATGTAGTTCTCGATGTGGTAAATTACGATTGATTTTCCGTTATGCAAATATATAGAGACGCATTCTGGATCTAGTCACTTTTTATCTACTACATATTCTTTTTATATATTAGACATAGAGTACAAAGCAATTAACATTATCTATAATTTAAAATAATGCGTCTCTGTGGTAAAACAGTGATGTAATCGCGCGTGTATATGCATTAAAATATACATATATCTAAGCGCATTTAATTTACAGCTTTAACCGGTACTCGCATATTAATTAAGCGTTTAATCGCGATACGTTTAACAGTGACGTTACTACTTTATGCTCATTGCACGAATGGAGCGCATAAAATATCATTGATGCAAATGGATCGCGTCGATTGCGAATTAAATGATATTTATTGTCGCAAATCGTTCTTAAATATTTTAATACGCGTTCGCGAGCCATTGCCCCTTCCCCTTCTCCTCTCCCTCTCTACCACCGCATCAATATTGTGCCAAGCGGGACATAAATTGGATATACATGATGAATTCGATATTGGTGCATAACAGCCGACAGCGTTTCTCTCGTGAATAAGCACGTTCTGGGCCGCGGTTACGACCAATACGCACGCTCTGTATTTATCCGAGGTAACCCCAACGGGACGTCAGGGATGCTGCAGCTGACCCGACCCACATTTGTATCTAGGGCAAGTTTGAGGGTGTGAATGCAGCTATACGCATTGGACAGTTTTACTTCGTCGCCTTCCGTGTCTTGCGTCCGATCGATATCGACCGCTTTTCCAATTTTCCTCCCTTTAATAGAATGAATTATAACAGTGGTATTTATATAACGGATATATGTAAGTCACGGAAAAATCGCGGATAGTTAACCTGAATCAAGAGAGATTCAACGAGATATTATCGTTAATTTATGTTCTGATATCGCGCGACTGTATTTGCATGTCGGAACGTCTATTAAAAATATCGTATACTTGGCATACGTGTATGCGTCCGGCGTTTCTATGCAAACATAATTATGATATTTAATTATAAGCATGAATTGTTTTATTTATCTTGGCCTAAATTAACAAAATAAAAAAAAGGAAAAGAAAAGTTGTATTATCTGATAATCTGATACATTAATTTATTGAATCTCAGGTGACGAATATCTTTCGCGTTACTCGAAATTTCGAATAAATCACACGTCGATCGAGACTGACGTCAAAATCAATAGATAGAGATGGTACAACCGGCTTCATTCCGTGTGTGATCGTGACGTGATGGCGCGGCGATGCTTCTCCCCGCGAATGTATTTGACAAAACTACAATTCCATACATCCCACGTCACATATCAATCAATTGCTACAATACGCGGTCGGATAATATGTATATGTATTAAAATAATTTTTTTCATTAGAGTATTACTGTAGCAAGGGATAAAAATATGAATTAGAATATTTTCAAATAATTTGTTGCGCTAACAAAACAAAAAAAAAAAATAATGAATTCCATTTATTACTGAATTTTATGTCATTAGAGCTGCTCTATTTTATTATCATGAATATTATATACATATACAGATGTCACACAATTTTTCATAAGAAAACACTTTCCAAGTTCGCGTCGGGATGCATCAGATATAAACGATGCCAACGCTCTCGCCACTTTTCGTACCGATTAACACGCTCGTCGCATTAACGCGACGATGCTCGACCCAAATTGACGTCGTTAACCGACTCGCTCGGCAACGGATCTCTCGAGGGATCGTATATCCCGAGTTGCCGTAAAATCGTAAAAGTGCGCAAAGCACCGTCGGGTCCCAAATGGGGAGATGCCTTTGTCGCCGAGCGGCCACACGACTGACGCGACGACATGACATTCCGCCCGCGGGGCGGACGTTCGCCTTCGCTTGCTCTGTACGAGGAAGGGCATTCGACTATGTTCATCTTGCATTTTTCTCTCTCTCTTTCTCTATGCAACAAAGATATCGGTGATCTTTCACAAAGCCGTACTGTCGATTTTAGCGAGACGCTTTGCCGACACCCTCATATCCTCACTTTTTCACGTTAGTGTACTCCGCATACGTAACATGTAATATCCTTTCGTTTAACCGGACCGAAATGTTTTATTGTCCTCTGCCGACGGCGGTGGACTGAACTTTGCTCGCTAATTTACATTCCCTGGTAACACGCGTGCGAAGGTACTGTGTATATATTACAACTGCGGTTAGGACCGCAGTAGGCTATATTGTCAGCCTATATAATGAAAATATGTAAATTGCGGCTCCTATTACTCTTCTCTTTATTCTTCCTCATTCTATTAATACATCCAAAAAATATGGCTGCAGAATAAAAAAATCTCGGAAATATCTTTTTTTATATAATTTTCTTTATTATAAATAGAAAATCTTTGCAGAATAGAATTTTTTAATGTGTAAAATATTAGCGCGCATATGTTACAATTATAAAATATATGTGCATAATACATTTATGATTATGATTATATTATTTATATATATAAATCATAAATGCATCTCGTGATATGCTGCGAGAGATTTGTTGATAAATTTGCATTTCCGGGTTGACGTTGACCTATATGCGGTCGTGGAAATGATGGACAGCGGGAAGAAAAACTCAAGTCTCTCCCAAACATGTCAGATATTCCGTTCGCATGATAAACGTCAGTAGAACTAAATTTCAATATTAGCCCGCAAAATATTGCGCATTATATCTGGCTTGCTGCTTAATTTTCCAAGATTATTTCTATGAAATGTAATAGCCGTAATTTTCTTACGCTTTATATTAGACTCTTTTTAGGATTTTCTGTTATATACTGCCATAACAAAGCATTTGCAGACTCTATCCATTTATGTTTTTTTTTTTTTATTTTCGTTTAAATATCTTTTTTCTTCGATTATTAAAAACATCAAAAGTGTAAGAATTTTCATCTGAATAAGATACGAACAGGGAAATTTTAAATCTTGTTTTTAATATCGTCATATTTTTTTGCGAATAGATTTAATTTATATATATGTTAGAGAGTGAGATTTTTTCCGATATGTTTTTCTAAGATTTGTTGCATTTATTCACACGTCAAAATGACGTGGATTTTGTGCCATTCGCGGGACATCTCTCATTCAAGCTGATGGACAATTTTCCGCGAACCATAAGTGCCGTTTCGCTTCTGTGCTTTTTATGATGTCACATCCAATCGAGGACCATGATTGGTCAATAGCGCACGATCGGTCCTCTGTACAAATGACCGTCCGTAATCCCGACAATTCTGATATTATCGGTACCTTGCAGCTATTGCTATCGAAAAAGATTTGATTTATTATTATCCAGCGCAGTAACAATTTTTCCCATTGCGAAAAACATAGAGAACTATGAAAGAACATTTATAGTTGAACAGTTTGATATCAAAAAGTGTACAAAAAATGTCCATCTTTGCATCATCAAATTTACACAATAAATTTTTGTGAGGCTTAGAATTTATCTTTTGCAAAAGTTTTACGCGCATTTGATAAAATTATTTTTATATAAATTATTGTTAATTTCTTTTTTTTATACTTTTGGCATTCATATACAAGGCTCTTTTTATATATG